GGCTTGATCATGGAGGTTGCTTGCACCTCCATGATCCATTCGGCTGGCCCCCAATTTCTGTGGCCGTTTGCGGTCCGATACGCCGCGCATCAGCTCAACCTCCGGCCCCGTGTCTCCATGCCAGAGACCTGCCCTACCCTGTTGTGGACAGGGGAGGTTGGAGATGCATTGGCGTTTCTGGTTTGGGGTTCGTTCGCCATTGTCCGCGATCCTTCCACGGGCAAGCTCTCTCCTCCCATTGTTCGCTGTGTCTTCCTTGGTTTTCCTACCGACGTGCCTGATTGTCAGTTTAACCACCCACCCACGCGCCGCAACCTATCCTCTCGCGACGTCACCTTTGACGAGTTGGTTTGCTACTACCGACTCTTCCCCCACCACGGTTCCCCTGTTCCCCCCCCCCCCCTTTCTCCCCCTTCTTCCCCCCCTCCCCGCCCCCTCAACGCCCCTCTTCCTGGTTCCTGGTTACCCCTGGGTAGAAACCACCCCCCTCCCTCGCGTCCTGGGTGTCTCAGGTCACACCACCACCCTTGGTTGAGCGTTTGGAGGTCTCCTCAGACCCCTCTGGCTCGGCTGAAGGGGGTGACCTTGCTGCTGATGAAACAGCGGCCTCTCGCCGCCCACCGCGCTTGAAGACTCCTCCTGGCTTTTCGCCTCGATCGTCTTTTCTGCCTCTGCATCCTGTCGCTGTGGACTCTGGTGCTGTCGGGGGTGGTGACTCTGGAGGTGCGGGATCTGGGGGTGTTGGTTCTGGGGGTGCTGACTCTGTAGGTGCTGACTCTGAGGGTGATGTCTCAAGGGGTGCTGAGCTTCTTAGTGGTGGTGGAGGCTTTGTGGGTGCGTCGTACCCTCTGCTGCAATGGCCCTTATTCTAGGAGCAGAAGCAATCATCGCTGCCACTTCCTGGGTCCGTTGCTGGATGTTGTGGGGATGCCAGAGCTAGAGATACTGGAGCTGGAGGTGCTGGAGCTGAAAGTGATGGAGATTCTGGTGCTAGAAGTACTGGAGCTAGAGGTGCTGGAGGTTCTGGAGCTAGAGGTGTTGGAGGTTCTGGTGACTCTGGAGGTTTTGGAGCTGGAGGTTCGGGAGTTGGAGGTGCGGCCACAGAGCGTGTAGAGCGTTTTGGGGCCGAAGGTGTTCCTAGTACTAGTAACTAGAGGAGCTAATTCTAGAGGTGCTGTGCAGCAGCTGCAGCGGCGACTGTTGTTCTGGGAGCAGCCACAGTCGTCGCTGCCACCACCTGACTCAGCGCTTTACCAGCTCTTCCAACTTTCGTCTGCCTCTGCAGAGCCGTCTACCGCTAGTACTACTCCTTCTCTACTGTTTCCACCTCCTGACCTGTCTCAGACACAGTTACCGCCTGACTCCCCACCTCCTGTTCCTTCTTGTTACACTCCGTTGACGGTCTCCCTGAATGAGCATCGAGAGCCTGCGTCTCGTCCTGCCTCACCTGTTGCTCCTACTCCTCGTGCTCGCCGTTTTTGCCCTCCAACTATCCCCACCACTCACACCATGCCACTTCGTCCTTCCTCTGTTCCACAGCGTGTTTTCCTCCCGTTACCTCCTTCGTCCTTCCTTCTGAACGTTCCTGACCCTTTGTCGAACCTTGCTCATGCTTCCAGTCTGAATGTCACCCATTGTCTCGCCACACTAGTTATAAACCCTACCTTTTTGTCTCCTGCTGCGTCTGCCTTAGTCACTGAGCTCATTGACATTCCTGCTATCTGCCGCCTTACCTACCTCACAAGTCTAGTTTCTGAATCTGCCTGTCCTCCATCTGTAAGGGGTGAGCTTGCCCTTGGCCATGACATCCTTGATGACAGTTTGCGCTAGAGTGCCTCACGGCTGCTGTACCTTGTCTCACTGCCATGCTGCTTTGCCCTGAGGGAGACCCAGATGCAGTGGACATCCTGACCCCGCGCTCTTACGCAGAGGCAATCACGGGTCCTTCCTCCTCTGAGTGGCAGATAGCCATGGACGCAGAGATGGCATCCTGGAAGTCCACAGGCACCTATGTCAGCGCAGTTCCCCCAACTGGGGTGAACATAGTCGATGCCATGTGGATATTCAGGGTGAAGCAGCCGCCGGGTTCCCCGCCTGTCTTCAAGGCGCGTTACTTTGCACGAGGCTTCAGTCAACGTCAGGGGGTCGACTCCTTCCAGGCCTTCTCCCCCACCCCGAAGATGATCACTCTTCGGGTGTTACTGCACGTTGCAGCACAGCGTCACTACGAGCTGCACTCGCTTGACTTCAGCACAACTTTCTTACAGGGCAGCCTTCACGAGAAGGTCTGGCTGCGCCGCTCCCCTGGCTTCACTGGGTCATTTCCTGGGGGTACCCAGTGGAGCCTCCGATGGCCAGTCTACGATCTCCGCTAGACGCCTCGCGAGTGGCACGACACACTGAGGACGACACTTGCGGCTCTTGGTTTTGCTCCTTCGACTGCTGACCCGTCGCTGTTTCTGCGGCACCGACACTTCTCTACCGCCGTTCTACATCCTCGTGTACATCGACAACTTGGTCTTTACTACCGCCGACACTGAGGCACTGGCCCTTGTGAAGGCGGAGTTGCAGAAGAGACACACATGCACTGACCTAGATGAGCTGTGGAGGTATCTTGGCTTGCAGATCACCCGAAACAGAGTAGCGCGCACCATTACTCAGACTCAGTCACACATGGTGGAGCAGGTCTTTCAGCGCTTCAGCTTTCAGTTCTCCTTGCCATATCCCAGTCCTCTACCTATGGGCCTCTCGCTCTCAGCTCCATCTTTAGACAAGTCCGTAGAGCCCATTGGTGTCTATCCAGAGCTTGTAGTTTCCCTCATGTACCTGATGACGTGCACTCGGCCTGACCTCGCATACCCTCTTAAAATCCTAGCATGCTACGTTGCGCTCGGGAGACACTACTTTGAGCACTGGTATGTTGCTTCAAAGGTGCTGCGCTACTTGGCTAGTACATCAAGCACGGGGCTTATGCTTGTAGGACGGGGCTCGGTTGTGCTCATAACACACTTAGACGCTTCGTGGGTTAATGACCAGGCGACTTCCCGGTCTTCACAGGGCTTCATTTTGGCACTGGCTCTGTCTTGTGGAGGTCCACTTGCTCGTCTTGTGCTTGACTCCAGCTGTGAGGCTGAGATCTTTGCTGGGGCTATGGCTACACACGAGTTGCATTGGCTGACCTACTTACTCACAGACTTGGGTGAGTGGCCTCGTTCTCCTCCGATTCTGTACGTTGACAACAAAGCCATGATTGCCTTGTGTCAAGATCAGAGAGTGGAGCACAGAACAAAGTACATTGCCCTTCATTACTTTCTCGTTCGAGAGCTGCAGCAGCGTGGTCAGCTTTGCCTATCTTACGTGGCCTCATAGGCCAAAACTGCTGATATTTTCACCAAGGCCCTTGGGTCTAGTGATCATTAGCATTTTTGCGCCACTCTAGGCATTGTGCCTACTCTGCCTCATTTGCTTATCTCTTGACCTTGTTTTGTACTTTCATACATATATATATATATACCTACATGTTTATTCTTGCTAGTTTGTGATCACTGTACTGCTTGTGCTATTATAACACTACATATGAACTGGCCTTGTGGCAACTTGCTTGTGCTCGGACTGTGTGGTGATCTTGAGATCCAACTTGTGCTTTGTTTTTGCTTCTTCGTTTGACTGGTCTTGTAACCATTCGTTGTTCTTGCTATCCCCAACTTCGCCTGTGGGGGAGTGTCAAACTATATATATTTGTTGTTTAGGCTGTAGTGGGGTAGCTTCTATAGGGTACAACTCATCTTAGGGTTTGTACTTGTATCTCTCCCCTTTGATAGTTCATCATTCCCTTGCGTATCACTTAAGCACCTCTATGCACCGTGCACGCACTCGGGCTGCCCGGATCTGCAAGCGCACCAGGGGACAAGGGAGGATGCAACGAGGTGTAGGGTAGAGAGGGGGGTGACGATGGGGAAAGCGAGGGTGCTGAGCTGAGCGCGCAGCAATAAAGGTGGGCGGGGGAGGGGGGGAAAGAGTGTGGGGACGGGAGTGTGGAAAACATCGGTGAGTTGAAGCGGGAATTGTGTAGAAGTAAACACTGGGTGGCAAGAGAAGAGAGTAGACATTTGGCATCGGACAGAGACAGGTGTCAATGCTGTAAGGATCAGGTGCAACGACGGCACGGCGATGGGCAGATGCGGGAAGCTAAGACATACTGAGTGCAAGGTCAGCTAAGTTAGCAAAACGTTTCACTGAGATTAATAGAAAATGGTTCTAGTGTTTGATGTTCAGGGTAATAGCTAGCACATGTAACAATAAACACTCGTAGAACACCTTTTTAGATTCACTCTGTGAGGTCCTGCCTATTGATATTTATCATTTGAAGACCCCTCTTGTAGTGTAATTCGTGTATGGTTCATGCATTTTCGACTTGGCGCGTAGGTTTCTAGGTGGCAAAATTTGGACTTTCCACGTGGTCAATCTGTCAAACTAGATGTCAGACATGTTGACCATGTTAGGACAAGAAGCACATGCGATTGGTTTTTCTGGTGGCACTCAATGTACAGTAAAACGTCCACCTAAGCATTTGTTTTTGAAATTGGTTCTTACGATCTAAGGAAGGAATAGGGGTCTCTTTTCAAACCGTCCACCTAAGCATTTGTTTTTGAACGATAGGAAAGTCCTCCAGGGGTTTATATACAGGAGCATAGGTTATTGAGAATACACTAGAAGTGTCATGTCTACTTAAACCCCAGCTGAACATATTCCCACACGAGCATTAGAAGCGTTGGGAGTGCAGACAATTGTCCCAGCAGGTGACTTCTCCAAGCACTCAAATCCATTAATCTTCCTGTAGCAGCCCTTGATGCTAGCAAATCCCAGTACATCAATCTTGTCACAGGTGTCCCCGGCTGATATGTTGTACGTGCCCCCTGGGCATGTGCCGATTCTGAACCTGACGCTGCTGTGAATGCATGCCTGCAGGGATCAACTCAATGGATGGAGGTTTACAGAGATCAAGAAATTACAGCGTCTGCAATCTGAAGCTGCATCACATCCAACTTAGCACACAAATGCCGCACCTTGCGCTGTGAGAAGCCCTCAAACGTAGTCAGCAGGCGGTTGTTGCAGTTGATGCCTGGGTTGAGGCGATAGAACTCTAGAGGGCTCAAAGGCGGATTCACGGCTATTCTTGCAGCATCGCAGCCATCACTGCCCTCCATTTCATACTGCTGGTCACACACTGCCACCATCCCCGCCTTGCTCTCCTCCCGCTCCACACACACGGCCAACCTGCCCGTGAGTGCTGCACAGTCCAGCCCAGGGTTGAGCCCCACCAACGCCTCCTCACATGCCTCGCCCTCCACAGGGCACCCCTCGCTCAGACCAAACAGCGCGGCTATCGATGCACAGCTGTCGCCCTGCAGCCACATCCAATTTCCCATTCAATCAAGTTACAGTGAAGAATGGAACGCGTCTACGAAACCAGTCTTGCAGTCCAATGCAATGAATATCAGCAGAGAGAGATGATGGATGCAGTGCTGGCTTGGTGCACTCACAAGGTGGGTGGTGTAGATGAGCGAGCAGCCGGCAAGAAGCTGAGACGGCGTGATGTTCAGCTTGAACCCCACTGGGATGGGCTTGGAGCAGGAGAGCTTCTGCAGCCATGGAGGAAGAAAGCCACTCCATAATAAACGTTACTTATTGTGTCAGCTCGAGTGGTGATCAATTGAGTTGAGCACTAGATAGGCATACAATGCGACCAACCTTGTTCTTCTGCTTGAGTTCGTCCAGAGTGAGGCCAAGCATGGGCAGCAAGTGAGAGCACCACACGTTGCTGCCACGCACCGTGTAGGTCCCCTTGCTGTCACCTGCAGGTTTCAGCACAGATACCAGCACAACAGATTAGGATCAGCTTGATTAGTTATCTAGGATAATGCTCGTCGTATGAACAAAGACCATATGATGCTCATGGAAACCTCCATTTGAACCCAAAGCTCATACTCTTTGCTTCACCTGATTTGTACCTAGCTTGCATTTTCTGGAAGGTTGGTAAGGTACCCTAGGAGACACTTCCTTTATATGGAACATAACGGCCAAACAAAAGAAAAACGATTTGTTTATGTGTTCTTTCATCATGATTTGAAACTGCACCGTGAGAGTTTGAAATCAACAGCCGGAACAAAAAGAGAGGCAGGACGGAGAATATTAGATGCAGCGGAGGATGGGACAAGATGGATGGTACCAGGAGCACAAGAGAGGGTTCCCTTGGCGGTGGTGCCTTGAAAGAACCCCGGGGGACACACACAGGAGTAGCTGCCCTTCCCATCGTTCACACACGTGCCCACCACACAAGGGTTGCTGCCTGCCAGCCCACAGGCGTCCACTGGCAGCAGCAAAGAGGGCAGAGAGGGAAATGTTGTGTTGGGGTGAGCAATAAATAGGAAAACAAAGGCAATAGAGTGCAATGGAGCGTGGGGGGCGATGGGCTCACCATAGGCGCAGGTGTTGGAGCCGTCGGGGTGGGAGGCCTGGACGAAGTGGGGAGCAGCACAGGCACAGCGGTTGGATGCTCCGGCCTTGGAGCACTTGAACTGCCCACACGGGTTGAACGCGTTGCTCCCTGCCACTCCTGGTGGGCCCGCCAGCATCACTGACTTGCTGCCACATGGGTCAGCAGTAGCTGCCACACACACACCACGCGCATAACACCCAGATGCGACAATGCATAGTTAGAGCAAGAGCATACGTGGAGTACATAGTCCAAGAGTCTGTAATGCAACATGGTAATAGTGCCCAACAGAAGAAAAGGCACAATAACTGCAAAGAGTACCACATACAGACGAGAGAATGTACAGTGCAAGAGCAAGTGAATTGACGTAGAAATCATGTTTCACCAGAAGTTTTCCCGCAACTATCACTGGCGCCATGTTATCCAATAAAGCTGCATTTTTCATCGCAACAAGTGAAGGAGCACCTATGCAGACATAAACAAGAGTACATGAGAGGAGCCATGAACTGACTGCTCTGTGCGTACATCGGAGGATGGGGAAGATGCCTGGCAGTGTGTTGATGCCACAAACGCCCGGCCCGCTCCGCATGTCCATGAACATGTGCCCTGCAGCGCCCCATCCGCTGCCCCATGAGTTGCGGATCACCCAGAGGGGCGCAGGCAGGCTAAACGGACTGGAGAGGTCCTCTCTGACAGCATATCCCACCACCAGAACAGCGTGGTTCACTCCATTTTTGAAGCAGCTGGGATCAGAGTACTTCAGTGTCTGGGAGGTAAGATGGTGAAAATGAAACCGGGATGCACATATGCACTGGTTTTAGTCACTGGATACAGCCACGGCCTTGCGAATGTCAATGAATCAGCCACATTCGCTGGTATATAACGATGGTGTGAAGATCAATGCCGTCTTACCCCATTGTAGTCGAGGAATGATTGTGCAGATGCCTCTATTCGTGCAACCACTGGCTGTCGCTGGACTGCCAACAGAAGGCCCAGCCAGCCTCCAAACGAGCTCTCCTCAAAGCCCTGAACTCCGTAGTACTTCACCTTCTGCAATACCAAAGCGGAAGGGGTTGAGGTGTGAGTGCTCTCCAGTGGTTTTGGGTGTGGTGCGAGTGCTTTTTCTGTTCACCTTGTTCTCCATGCAGTTCCAGCTGTTCATGGCGTGTATCACCATTCATGAACACCACTCGCATGCATCATAATTCATCAAGACCACTTGCGTGTATCACCATTCATCATCACCACTTGTCATGCATCATCGTTCATCACCACCAGAACCTACCTCTCGCTGCAACTCACCGCGGCCAGTCTCTCCCGCTGGCCGGCGGACGCCATGCTGTGGGGACTGGCGGCCGCTGCTGCTGCGTCATCCACGAGCCCCCCTCTCTTGCGCGTGGCAGCCACCAGGAAGGCCAGCACATCGCGCGGAGGCATGTCGTCGCAGTTGGCGGAGAGGGCCAGTCGCAGCTGCTCCACCGACAGCCTTGGGGGACTATATGAGTTGCTTGCAATGCTGTAAGCTGCCTCCACAGCCGCCACCACTGCGTATGCTGAGGAGTCGGCTGCAGCCCGGTGGGGGGATGAGAGAATGCAAGAGGGTAAAGAGGGATAATTGGGGGTTGTGATGAGCAGGGGTGAGAGGATAACCAAATAGTTTGGAAGACTGATAGAGTATGCTTCTAGTTGTGCACGTTGTGTGTGCATAAACCTAGGCCCACACTCAAGCTTGAGCAGAGAACATGGCTACCGCATAACACGACCCTCAGTATGTGACTTCATACGTCCACAGCATACTGTATCCTTTCCATATCGTATCATCCTATCCTAACACCAACCATGCCATACCCTACAGCATTGATGCAATGCCATACCCCATGTATTCCATACCGCATCCATGCTGGTTCTTCACGGGCCACGTTGACTCATCCCGCATCCAAGAGACAAAGGAAGGGAGGGTCCAGGAAGGCAGCCCATCCGCACTGGGAAGGAACGCTAGGCTGGCATAGTGGAACGAAGAGGGCACAATGTCGGCGCTGCTGGCTGTAACCTCTTCATTTGATGCCACCTGCCCGAATTCACTACCTGTTGGTTCACCCAGGATGGAGCTAGGAGATTAGAAACGGATGTTTGAACGGCTCACAAGTAAAATGAAAAAGGAGGTGACTACTTTTGAGGATATAAGAAGTTGCTTAATATCCTATTGCAAAACGAAAGGCAATGATGAGGCTCTTACCAGACTGAGGCGGCCTTTCAACTATTACATTTGGTGATTCTGCACATAGAGATCGATAGACATATGCATGCACTCGTACACGCACACACACACACACCCCATCCCTTCCCCTCCCGTTCCCTCCCGCCCCTCTTCCACCACCCCCACCACCACACACACACAAAGGAACGTGCACACACCCACACAATCACACATGCATGTACGTGCGCGCGCACACACACACGCACGCAAAAACAATATGACAAGCTTTTGCAAGAGATCTGATAGGTAGCATCAGGAAAAGCGAGCGTTTTATGTGAAGTTAGTTGTATTCTCAACAGCTCCCACCGACAAAACATGATGTTCAATAAGCAAAAACCTCATTGCGCTCACCTGTCGCAATGTTCCACCACAGAATGTCGTGCCTCTGAGTGTTGTTTGAGGCAGCCACAAAGCCAAAGCGGAAGGAGGCATTGCCAACGGTGGGCTTGAGCGCGCTGCACAGAGACACTCTCGCCGTCACCACAGCCTTGGACGGCTGCTGCCTGGAGGCTGAGAGGAAGACTCGGAGGGTGCCGCCGCTGGTGGGGTCGTAGTGGATCCAGGCGTGCTTGGTGTGGCCGTCGTTGAGGATGAGAGGGGCTGTGGCAGAGGCGAGGGACACAGGTGAGCCGCCCACATTGACGCCCACATGGTTGTCGTTGGGGTCGCTTTGCTTCACACTCAGCACCGAGTCAAACTCCACCGCCACACTCCGCTTCCCCACCCCTCCCAGCCCCACCCCTGCTGCAGCTCCCTGGGGTGCTGCCGCAGTTACTACAAATGCCAGGCCCTCGCCTGCTGTGGATGAACCAACAGGAGAAGCAGGGGTCATTCGAAATGCAAATGAAACCGAAAAGGCTACAGGCAGGTCGCAGGGTGACTTTTTGCTGGTAGAGAAGAACAGGGTGATGGGCCTCTGTATGAAAGCTGCTCCCCATGATGCATTGGCCAATGCAGGAGAGAGAGAGATGGAGCCGTTGGGGGTAGAAGACGCCAACTGTGACAGATTCACCGGTTGTGAGTAGGAGGAGAGGTATCGAGGGAGGTATGGTCCTGCGGAAGACAATGTGTGGGACATATGGTTGTATTGGACCGTTGAAATGGCAATACACACCGAGGGATTTGGTTAGACATGAAAGTTGGAGTGTGTTTTATGTGGCATGAGGGAAGCTGGTGTGAAAAACACATGCCTCATATTGACATGGATGGCCACAACAGGAGTTCGAGATTTTGTTTTGGATCAGCGTTTTCAGTTAAACACTCAGAGAGAGATCACATAGATTTACCGCATAGTAGCAGAGAGATCTTTCGTACCTTGTTGTGCCACACATGTGGCATTAGCGGTTCCATCCGTATAACCATAGTCACAAGCGCACTTGGCGTCTGTGCTCGGGGGCAAGTAGGAGCACACTCCATGGCCACTACAAGGCGGACTGGAGGGCCCGTTTCCACAGAATAACGTGCACCAGGTGGCATTCTTCTGGTATTGCAGGCTTCCGCAGATGGTCAGGTTGGTGGGAAAGCAGTTGAACTGCAGCACAGCCTGGTACGCGGGGCATGCTGGAGTGGGAACCGCTACACTGGTGAGGAAGTTGTAGCTTGCGATCATGAATTTGAGTGATGGCATGAGCTCCACAGAGGGCAGCATCCCCACCAGCTGGTTGTACCCCAGAATGCTGCAGGAGGCACAATGAGAAGTTGTGGGGACGGAGGTAAAGTGTGGGGGGGGGGAAGAGGGTGAAGTCGTGGAAGTGAGAAAAGGGTGAACAATTTATCCTTCTGGAAGCTACATCGTTTGTGGGCGAACAAAGAATGGAGTGCTGGATGAACCGACAACTGAGAGCTGGAGGAACGCATCCACACTATTCATCAAACCGACAACTGAGAGCTGGAGGAACGCATCAACACTATTCATCAAACCGACAACTGAGAGCTGGAGGAACGCATCCACACTATTCATCAAACCGACAAACGCATCCACACTATTCATCAAACCGACAACTGAGAGCTGGAGAAACGCATCCACACTATTCATCAAACCGACAACTGAGAGCTGGAGGAACGCATCCACACTATTCATCAAACAGACAACTGAGAGCTGGAGAAACGCATCCACACTATTCATCAAACCGACAACCGAGAGCTGGAGGAACGCATCCACACTATTCATCAAACCGACAACTGAGAGCTGGAGGAACGCATCCACACTATTCATCAAACCGACAACTGAGAGCTGGAGGAACGCATCCACACGATTCATCAAACCGACAACTGAGAGCTGGAGGAACGCATCCACACTATTCATCAAACCGACAACTGAGAGCTGGAGGAACGCATCCACACTATTCATCAAACCGACAACTGAGAGCTGGAGGAACGCATCCACACTATTCATCAAACCGACAACTGAGAGCTGGAGGAACGCATCCACACTATTCATCAAACCGACAACCGAGAGCTGGAGGAACGCATCCACACTATTCATCAAACCGACAACTGAGAGCTGGAGGAACGCATCCACACTATTCATCAAACCGACAACTGAGAGCTGGAGGAACGCATCCACACTATTCATCAAACCGACAACTGAGAGCTGGAGGAACGCATCCACACTATTCATCAAACTGACAACTGAGAGCTGGAGGAACGCATCCACACTATTCATCAAACCGACAACTGAGAGCTGGAGGAACGCATCCACACTATTCATCAAACCGACAACTGAGAGCTGGAGGAACGCATCCACACTATTCATCAAACCGACAACTGAGAGCTGGAGGAACGCATCCACACTATTCATCAAACCGACAACTAAGAGCTGGAGAAACGCATCCTTACAATTCATCAAACCGACAACTGAGAGCTGGAGGAACGCATCCACACTATTCATCAAACCGACAACTGAGAGCTGGAGAAACGCATCCACACTATTCATCAAACCGACAACTGAGAGCTGGAGGAACGCATCCACACTATTCATCAAACCGACAACTGAGAGCTGGAGGAACGCATCCACACTATTCATCAAACCGACAACTGAGAGCTGGAGGAACGCATCCACACTATTCATCAAACCGACAACTGAGAGCTGGAGGAACGCATCCACACTATTCATCAAACCGACAACTGAGAGCTGGAGAAACGCATCCACACTATTCATCAAACCGACAACTGAGAGCTGGAGGAACGCATCCACACTATTCATCAAACCGACAACTGAGAGCTGGAGGAACGCATCCACACTATTCATCAAACCGACAACTGAGAGCTGGAGGAACGCATCCACACTATTCATCAAACCGACAACTGAGAGCTGGAGGAACGCATCCACACTATTCATCAAACCGACAACTGAGAGCTGGAGGAACGCATCCACACTATTCATCAGACCGACAACTGAGAGCTGGAGAAACGCATCCACACTATTCATCAAACCGACAACTGAGAGCTGGAGGAACGCATCCACACTATTCATCAAACCGACAACTGAGAGCTGGAGGAACGCATCCGCACTATTCATCAAACCGACAACTGAGAGCTGGAGGAACGCATCCACACTATTCATCAAACCGACAACTGAGAGCTGGAGGAACGCATCCACACTATTCATCAAACCGACAACTGAGAGCTGGAGGAACGCATCCACACTATTCATCAAACCGACAACTGAGAGCTGGAGGAACGCATCCACACTATTCATCAAACCGACAACTGAGAGCTGGAGGAACGCATCCACACTATTCATCAAACCGACAACTGAGAGCTGGAGGAACGCATCCACACTATTCATCAAACCGACAACTGAGAGCTGGAGGAACGCATCCACACTATTCATCAAACCGACAACTGAGAGCTGGAGGAACGCATCCACACTAGTCATCAAACCGACAACTGAGAGCTGGAGGAACGCATCCACACTATTCATCAAACCGACAACTGAGAGCTGGAGAAACGCATCCACACTATTCATCAAACCGACAACTGAGAGCTGGAGGAACGCATCCACACTATTCATCAAACCGACAACTAAGAGCTGGAGGAACGCATCCGCACTATTCATCAAACCGACAACTGAGAGCTGGAGGAACGCATCCACACTATTCATCAAACCGACAACTGAGAGCTGGAGGAACGCATCCACACTATTCATCAAACCGACAAGTGAGAGCTGGAGGAACGCATCCACACTATTCATCGAACCGACAACTGAGAGCTGGAGAAACGCATCCACACTATTCATCAAACCGACAACTGAGAGCTGGAGGAACGCATCCACACTATTCATCAAACCGACAACTGAGAGCTGGAGGAACGCATCCACACTATTCATCAAACCGACAACTGAGAGCTGGAGGAACGCATCCACACTATTCATCAAACCGACAACTGAGAGCTGGAGAAACGCATCCACACTATTCATCAAACCGACAACTGAGAGCTGGAGGAACGCATCCACACTATTCATCAAACCGACAACCGAGAGCTGGAGGAACGCATCCACACTATTCATCAAACCGACAACTGAGAGCTGGAGGAACGCATCCACACTATTCATCAAACCGACAACTGAGAGCTGGAGGAACGCATCCACACTATTCATCAAACCGACAACTGAGAGCTGGAGGAACGCATCCACACTATTCATCAAACCGACAACTAAGAGCTGGAGAAACGCATCCTTACTATTCATCCAACCGACAACTGAGAGCTGGAGGAACGCATCCACACTATTCATCAAACCGACAACTGAGAGCTGGAGAAACGCATCCACACTATTCATCAAACCGACAACTGAGAGCTGGAGGAACGCATCCACACTATTCATCAAACCGACAACTGAGAGCTGGAGGAACGCATCCACACTATTCATCAAACCGACAACTGAGAGCTGGAGGAACGCATCCACACTATTCATCAAACCGACAGGGTTAAGGGAACGTTGGTAGTCTGAGGTGGTCTCAAGGGAGCTGCAAGTGAAGGTTTAATACTCCCAACAAAACTCCCTTCATTATCAGTCCAGTACAATAAACAGCACCTCTCACCACTCCACCTTCACCTCTTTACACCTCTGTTCACCATGACCCTTCGGGATGATAGCTCCCACGGGTACACGGGACCAGGCCCCCCCACATTGGATCTTACAAATACTTCAAGGCTTGGAGGTTGCTCAAAGTGGCAGGAATAGTCCCTGCGAGGTTGTTGAAATTGAAGTCCCTGAAGAAGAGATGATAAGGGGATTGGAGGCACAAAACGGGCCTCCACAAGGGTATTTGAGGAACGAACTGGGAGTTGATTACATGTCAATCAAAAAGAGAAGGAGCAGGCTGGCATATTTAAATCACAAGATGCTGAAGTACGATTTTTTGAGGTACTGGAGTGTAGGCCAACCATTTATTTCCCTAATAAATGTTTGCGAATACATATGTGTGCTGTTTTTCGAATGACAAAAATATTGGATACGTTTAGCACAACCTCCCTTAAATAACTCTAAAAATAAATGGATAAGTTTTGGTCATATGCTTGCTCTTGGATTTTGCACTCACAGAGCTTCAAGGCTGGCCAGATTGCCGAGGGACTCTGGAATCTGCCCTGAGAGCTGGTTGACGCTTAGGAGCCTGAGGCATGGCCACGAGAGCACAAGGGGAGTGGAGAGGCACAGGGAAGAACAAAATCGCCTTGAAGGAGCCAAGGCTTGAAGCAGGATGTTAAGAGAGGCATTGTCAGCAGAGATGGTGGCAATGTAAAGACTGTGGGCATATTATTCACAAGCAAAATTCTCCCTTAGGAAATGACAGGAAAACTTGTGTGGAATTGGCAGGGCTTGATATGATA